GCCAGAAAGCTGAAAGACCCAGGACTGGTCTGCAAACTGCCCTGTGGGAGGTAATGGATGACCACTCAGAGAACCAGGGCCTGGAGCTGTGGTGCTAACTTGGTTTAAGCCACATGGTTTCTGACCAGCTCACCGGTCCCAGATAATGATGCCAAGGAATGCCGCTCTCCATTTGCATAATCAGACTTTCTCCGACCGTTGGCCAGGGCCTGTCTGGGTTCTTCTCATTTCTAAATGAATGGGGGACCAGTTAATAAGCTTCCTTCATTCTGAGGCGGGAGTTACTCATTCCAAGTCCCAGGGGTCAGGAAACCCTGAGCTGGCAGTTGGGACTTTGTTGCTTAATGAATTACGTCAGAATGTTCTGCTGGTTTCCCTTGAATGAAATTCTGCCTGCATCCTCATCCAGAGCCCACCCCTACTTTTCTCTCCTTTTAAAGATTGCCAGTTCTTTGTGACTGCAGAACTCCAGTATCTGTTACGAAGTAAGGCTTTCATGTCTAATAGGGACTCCCAGAAACCACCTGCCGTGCTGGTATCTCCTCCCCTGTGCTGGTGGTGGGGGCCCTGTGGGGGCCTGAAGTGACTTCCCATAGTCTAAAAATCTGGGTTGAGATCCAGAGGAAGAAGGCTGGGAATTTGACAGAGCTCTCAGAGCATGCGTATTAGAAAACCATGAAATGTCCGTATTTGTAATCCATCCTTACTGTGTCTGCAGGGTGAGTTCTCACAGCAGCTGGGGGGGTTTGTTCACCAGCCCAGGTGAGGATTCATCTTTTCCCTCTTGGCTTTTGTTTCTTATGGTCTCAGGAGTACGACTCCATTTGTGTGCAGTTGGCCATAAAGGGAGTGAATCCACCTTCAGTGATGTAGTGGACAGGCTCTTGCCTGATTGTGTATGAATGTCGGGATTTTTGAGGCCCCTGTGTCTATGTGTCTAACAGCCTTGCTGTTTGCACCATGCCTCTGTGCATTTGGGAAAAGGGGACAGCCCCACTCAACTTGGTGTTGAGTGCATGAACTTAAGAAAGGCCCTGATTCCTTCAACAGATGCAGCCCCTTGCAGGCATGGGGCTTGGGGGTCTTGGTGAGCTGGGCACCAGATGCATTACAGCTCCCACTTGTCCCCTCTGCTGGCATATTTGTACAAGATATAACTTGCACACTTCTATTCTGTGTTGATACAAAGACTGAAAGAAGGCTGGATTTGGAGGCAAAAGGCTTGTTTGAGCTCTAATTTTACACCCTGACAATCATTGTCCTAGGTTGCTGTATGGTCTCATGTAAGCAGGAGTCAGCCAGCTTTTTCTGTACAGGGCCAGGTAGTAACTATTTTAGGCTGTGTAGACTGTGTGGTCTCTGTCATATCTGTTCATTTCTGCAATTATAGCTCAAAAGAAGATATAACTGATAAATAAATGAGTGGGCATCATCATGTCCCAATAAAACTTTATTGACAAGCAGCTAACCCTGATGTAAAGCATCTGGTACAGTACTCGGTGTGTCACGGTTTTGTAAGAAATGGGGGACTTTGTTACTGTTTTTACTATTAATACTAATAGTACTACTACTACCACCATTTCTTGAGCTTTATGCTCTGTGCCAGGTACTGTTATAAGTACTTCAGATGCTTTATTTTGTTTAATCTCATCACCACCAAGTAACTTGGCTAAGGTCTAGCAGCTGGGAAGGGGCAGAGCTGGGATTCAAGTCCTCCTCCTGACCACCTTGCTGCATGTTGCTTCACACGTAGGGAGTCCCTTCCCCTGAGGCCTGGGCCCCCTTCTGTCTGTGGCCCCCAGTTTCTTCCTTTGGTGCAGCTGCCACCACTTGCATTTGATTTGCATCTTGATTTGCTTACTGTGCATCTCCTCCCCCGCTCCCGGGGGAGCTGCAAGGGGTGGGGACCTCACTGTCTGGTACATAGGTCTGTCCTCAGCCCTTGGCTACTTCCTGGCGTCTAAGCAGGTCTTCCCTAAATATTTGCTCACAAAATAAATGAGTCATTGCCAGCTGGGCCTCACCTCTTCCCCCTTCTCCACCAGTACTGTAGCTTTTCACAGTGCAGAGGAATTGGGCTGCCGTTGAAGTACATTTGCGATTCCCTGACACCCTACTCCCTTCCAGAAGAAAAAAACAGCCTGCAGAGCCAATAGCACCTCCTCCTCCACGGATAGTGTTGCCATGTTAGGTTGCAGACGGTCCAGCTTACAACACAGCCCCAGGAACTCAATTTCACTTGTCTCTCCTTGAAGTCCTGTGAGGTAGGCTGAGCATTAGGACTGACTTCCCATTTTTCTGTTGTGAAAACTGAGACTTGGAGGTGAAGCGACTGCCCCAGCTCGTTCAGCTAGAAATGGTAGAGCTGGGGTTGGAACCCAGTCTGGCTGCAAAGTCTGAATTTACTGTGCTTTGGTTTGGTCTGGAATGTGGGTCTGTGGGCCCACTGCATCTGATTTACCTTATTAAAAATAAACTGATGCCAGCGCCCCACCCAAGAGATACTGTCCTAGTTGGTCTGGGGTGGGAGGACCCTGGTCACCTGTGTTTAACAGGCTCCCCGGATGATTTTGGGGCAGCTGGTGCTGGGACCGCCCCTCCTCCCATGCCTGGGGGCCTCAGAGTGGAGCCTGGAGGTTCTCAGCCCAGGATGTGCGTGTGAATCACTTCATTCAGCATTTTATGATGAGAACTTGCACACGTGTACACGTTAGGTAGCAGAGTATAATAAATGGCCGTGGGCTCCCCTGCATTGCATCTGAGCATTTCAGTATGTATCTCTGAAAGATGAGTTTTAAATTTTTAATGACTTTTTATTTGAAATGATTTGACTCACAAAAAGTTACAAAAATAGAATTCCTATATACCCTTATCCAGCTCTTTCCAGTGATAGGTAATATCTGAAAGAAAGATTTTAAACAATACAACTGTGATACCATCATCTGGCATAAAAGCAATAATAATTCTTAATATCAAGTATTACAATAATCCAGGGTGTTGCCACTACATTCTCTTGTACCCTTCCTTCATTTATTCGCTGGATCATTTCTATGGAGAGACACTTCCCTTACCTCTCTGGTCACTGTGTGGTGTAGTTCATTTAGAAAAAGTGGGAAAAATGCTTGTTTTCTGTTTTCTAAATGCCTTTGTTAACTAGCATCGTTTCATCAGTGAAGTTTTCCTTTTTTTCCAGTATCAATGCGAACTTGCTTAGTGTAAACTACGTGATGCATTTCAGTCCATTCTACTTATTATCCTTATTGCAGCTTAAATTGTCCCTTTTTGGGCTGGTGGAGCCAATTCTGATCGCTTGAGGCCTTTTTACAACTCTGCTCGTCTTTGGTTTCCTTGGTGTTGGGTATGACAAGATGCTGTAAGCTTATCCTGTACATTTCCTGTCCAGCCACTTTACCAGGGAAACTCAAGGAGTTAAAAACAAACACAAAAAACTCAGTGCCCTGGTCCTGCTCTAAGCCAGCTTAATCAGAATCTCTGGGGGTTGGAACCCAGATAAGGTTTGTTTTTTTAGAGCATTCCCAGCCTGGATGGAGAACCACTTGGGTAGAATGTATGTTCTCCTCGGGCTTTCCAGTGAGTTATCTCTGAAAAATGAGGGAACAAACATTGAGTACTGTCCTCAGCTAAAGATCCCATCACTGCCTGGTGAACCCTTCAGGAAAGCCTGTATTTCAGAATTTAAACCTGAGTGTGTCCGCATTGAAAAACAGCCCTTGTGTGCAGTCCTGAGGCTCCTCACTGATGTCCCTTTCCTCGTCTGTATGTTGCTGAACTGGAGCTCATCTTTGTGCCTATGAGAAAGATGGGCTCCGAAAGTTTGCTTAGAATCTGTTGATGATTTCCCATTGCCTTGAGGATGAAGACCAAAATTCCTTACATAGCCTCCAGCATTGACTGTGCACGGTCTCCAGTGTAGACCTCTCAGGCCTCTGGTTGGTTCCTGGAGTAGGCTATGCTCCTGTCTACCACAGGGCCTTTGCACACACTTCTCCCCTTTAGTTAGTTATCCTCTACTCACCCATCAGATCCCAGCTGGAACCTCTTCCTCAGGGACACCCTCCCTGACTCCTGTCAGCTAGGTCAGCCCCCATCCTCTTATCGGCTCTTACTGTGGGCCTCATAAGGTATCAGTGATCTCAGTGGTAGTGTTGACCCACCTTCAGGGCCTCATCCTCATCATGGACATGGTCTAGTGTTTGGTGACGGGATCGTTTGAGGAATGTCTCTGGAGCCTGTTGGATGCTCATGTTCTGTCTCCAACACTTCCGTCTGTGAGACCCTGGCAACTCACTTTACTCTTCTGCTCTTCATTTTCTTTAACTACAAAATGAAAATGATGATTTTACCTACTGTGCAGGGTAGTTAGAAAGATTAACTTGCATAAAAGATGATTTCTGCAAAGCCCTTAAAACAGAGCTAGTTAGGAAAGAAAGTTAGCAGGTTATCTTTATTATCTTGGTATGTATAGCTCAGGCTTCCTAAAGGGAGGGTGTATATTTGTCCAGACTAGTATAAATGGTGCTAAGCCCATAGTAGGTGCTCAGAAAATATTCACTGAATGGAGGAAGGAAATGAGAATACTATTAATACCACACTGATAAGGGTCTGTGAGGATATAAGATAATGCTAACACTTTGTAGAGTGCCTGAAACCTAGTAGGTGCTCAGAAGATACTTGTTGAATGAATGAACGGAGTAAATGGGGACAGTAGTAGCGGTACACTCATTGGGTTGCTGTGGGGAGATAAGGCATGTGTGTGGCCTGTGTGCATGGTAGACACTCAGGAATGATTTGCTGGATCGAACTGGGCAGCTGCCATGTGTTTCTCTCAAGGCCACCAGGGCTCAGGAGAGAAAGCCTTTCGGGGTGCAAATCAGTGGTATGAAAGAGGCTCTTGGTCCTAAGGTCAGCTGACTGCTCCCTGCTGAGCGTTGGCATGGATGAGAGGTTCAATCGTTCATTTCCCTTTTTCTTTCCACTAGAATCCTTGCCCGGAATCTAGCGCCTCCTTCCTGTCCAGGATCACTTTCTGGTGGATCACAGGGTAAGGCCTGGCCCCCATTATTTCGGGTGGGGTTGTGGACCACAAGTGCACGGCTTGGACCCCCACCCACAATCTCCCTCCTGCTTCCAGACGGTGCTGTGTCCTGAGTGTGCCTGTCCTGGTCTCAGAGACACAGACCCCATGCCCCACGTCATGGACCCGAGTTGCATCAGCCGTAAACAGGCTTGAGCCTCTGTGGACAGCTTTGGTTGGGGCAGCTGTAAGCTGCACGCTCTTGGCTTGCTTCTGATTTGGGTATTTTTATTAGGTATAATTACTGTTGTAATGGATCAACCACCAAAAACACCACAGGCAACTGCTGTCAACCATTTGATATGCTCCCTTCTTGTCCTCCCCTTTTACATATTTTTTTCCTGCACATTGTCAGCATCTTATGGGGGATTATTTGAATCCTTTCCCCCTGCTGATAAGCAGCATTCCTTGTCCTTAAACACTTATTACAAACACCTTTTTGAAAACTTAACATTTCATATTTAATTTTCAAATTACTGTTAAAGAGCATCCCTGGGACACCTGGTGTAATTTAAATATGGACTGCAATAAATTAAATATCCATGTTAATATTTCTCATTTTGATAATTGTGCTCTGATTTATAAAAGAGCAGGTCCTGTTTTTAGCTGCATACACACTAATATTTAGAAGCAAAGTCATGTAGAGTCTGCAGCCTACTCTGAAATGGTCCAGAGGAGAAATATGTTCCATGTATGTGTGTTTATAGATAATGATACAGCAAATGTGGCAAAATGCTAACATAGTGAACTATGTGAAAGATAAGCAGAAATTCTTTGTATGATTCATGTGATCTCTCTGTTAAGTTTGACATTTCAAAATAACAGGATGAAATCTTAGGCTTCCATTTTATTGTGAAAGTGCTCAGACACAGAAAGACTAGTCTAATAAACTTCAGTAAACTCATCCCCCAAACTTAACCACTGTTAAATGCTTTGCCACATTCGCCTTTTAAAAAAAAGTCTTTCTAAGTAAATTAGAACCATCCTAATTATTCGGTATGCATCTCTAAAAAATGAGGCCGTTTTTCTTGGGTGATGTAACAGAATTAGCAATAATGATATAACGAGATGTCATCCATACTGAAATTTCCACCTTGGCAAGGCGGCCTTAGGTTGTAGGGGCAGCCGCGGGGTGGAGGGTGGGCCGGCCTGGTGGGTGTGTGCGCTGAGGGCCATCGTCTTCATCTGCACCCCCGCTCCTCAGCTCTCATCACCTGCCCCCTTGTGTCTTGGCCCCAGGTTGATGGTCCGGGGCTACCGCCAGCCCCTGGAGGTCACTGATCTCTGGTCCTTGAATAAGGAGGACACGTCAGAACAAATTGTGCCCATTTTGGTAAAGAACTGGAAGAAGGAATATGCCAAGTCCAGAAAGTAAGTGCAAGCCCTCTGGTCGCAGGGGCAGCCACAAACTCTCTAGGATGAGCCAGTCACCTCTTTCCTGCCACCGGGTCCCCGAATGGTGGTCACATCACTTCATACAGGCTTCATGGTCCTGGATGAGCTGCCTCACTCCTCTGAACCACAGTTTGCTTATCTACAAAACGGGCAGAGTCTGACTTGTAGCTAAGCCAATTTGCATAGGAAAAAAGCACCGTGACACGTGTCTGTCAAGTGAGCAGTTGATTGTATTTGCCATGACCCTTGGTGAGCATGTGCCTGGGGTGGGCGACCCTGCCTCCCCCACTGGGGCTCATTTCCCTGCCCCTCTCTGAGCCCCTGGCCTCCAGAGTGTTCTTGCTGTTCAAAGTATTTTGGTTCAATGCACCAAGCTAATAACTTCATGAGATGTTTAGCCAAAGAAGCCCCCAATTTTTATTTTAAATAGACTTTATTTTTTAGAGCAGTTTTAGGTTCACAGCAAACTTGAGCAGAAGGTACTGAGATTTCCCATGTATCCCCTTTCTCCACACATACACAGCCTCCCCCGTGACCAGGGTGCCCCTCCAGAGTGACATTTGTTAGAGTCGGTGAACCTACATTATCATCACCCTGAGTGGCTATATGAGACTCCCAGAGTTCCCAAAACCTTCAGTACTTAGGCTTACCAATCTCTGGTGGTCCCTATAATAACAAGTCAGCTTTTCTTTATTTCACAACACTGTATGTAGAAAGTGGAGTTAGCTTCTAGGCTGAGGTAATTTTCAGCAGGCTTTTCACCTACGTGGGTGCCTGATGGGATCTTTCTTGGGGACTAAAGTTGTCAGCAGGAAAGGTCTGGCTCAGTCAACCAAGAACGCAATTTTGCAAAACAACCCCCGGCCTTGGGAGACCTCTGTTTTTGAGGAAGAGAAAGCACTTGAAAAACAACCAAAAACTGGAGGAAAGAGTAGAGGATGATCTTGAATCATTTGCATTTGTAAGCAACACGTTTCAGACCCTGTCTGGGCTGTAGTTTCACAGGAGGGACTTGGGGTTGGAAGATGCTGCCACTCCCATTGTGGTTTCCAAAACTGTTCTTTATAAGGAGAGAGAGACTGTGCATTAAGTTTGTAAATGCCATTTTCTGCTTGTAGATCAGATCTGCCCTTCTGATGTTATATTAGGTATTGTGGGTCAAAGACCATGCTCAGAGTACATCCAGAAAATGCAGAAATTTAATCAAGCCAAGACTTTTTTAAAGTTTGAGATTTTTGCCTTCGCCAAAATATCAAAAATCTTATTTAGCAAATGACGCGCAAAGCCAGCAGTAGCTTCTCATTGCTGTGTGGGTGGTTCAGGCCCCTGCCCGTCTGCTCTCTCAGCCCTGTGCTGGTTACCATGAGATTCTTGCTCTTCTTGGAAGGGCGGCCTCACCTCTTTTCAAAATCCTTGGCTCCAGGCCTTGTTCATCTAATTTCCTCTACCTGTCTGTTCCCACTGGACCTGTTTCCTCATCCTGCAGGTCTCTGTCTCAGCTTCAATGTCATCTCCTCCAGGAAGCCCTCACGATAGTGCCTCACACAGCTTTGTGAAGTTGTGTTTGCTGGTATTTTCTCTCACAAGGCTCCTTAATAGCAGGGGTGTCCCCAGTGCCTGGCCCAGAGCACACATCCTGTTCATTAGTGGGTGAGTGATCTGTGGGCACCTCTGCCCATATTGACATCTGGTCCCATCAGCGAGTCCCTTTTCCTTCCCAGCCTCCAGCTTCCACACCCCTCTCTGTTCCCCTGCTCTGGGCAGTTTCCTTCTGACTCAGACTTTCCTCTTCCAGCTCTCCTTCCCCTCCCAGACAAACCATTCGGATGCTCTGCTTTATTCCTCTCCCCTCCGGGAGTGCCTCTCTCTTGTAGGCCTCCTGTTCACTGGGTAGTTTTCTTTCCTGACTCAGCCTTAGCTCGTCCCTTCCACTGTTGTTGACTTCCACCCTGGCCGGAGCCAGCCTCCTCTCTGCTTGCCCAAGACTGTCTTCCTGGCTCTGTGGCAGCCCGTCTCCTGGCCACCAGAAATAGCCCTGGGTCAGCGGCAGCCCACACAGGCCCAGAACCTGGGGTCCAGCTCAGGAAGGGGTATGTGAGTGCGGTTGGGGAGGGTAAGCCACTCACTCTCTGCCTGGCCTCCTTTCCCTCCTTGCCCAGAAGGCATCTGTGTGCCAAGATAAACCATACTAACAATCCCAGCCAGAAACCCAGCTTCTGGGGAAGTCAGGCAAGTGAAACTGGCAACATGAGAAATAGAAATAATCCTTTGTGGTTGGTGAAATAATGTACTCCACCCCACCTGCCACAAAGATAGCCATGTCATGATCCCCAGAACCCACGAATGGGTCACCTTACCTGGCAAAGGGACTTGGCAGGTGTGATTAAGTGAAGGATTTTGAGATGGGGAGACTCTTCTGGATTGTTTGGGTGGGCTGGTGTGACCGCCGGAGTCTTCATAAGAAGGAAACAGGTGGTCAGAGAGAGAGTGAGAGATGCTATGCCATTGAAGATGGAGGAAGGGACCACACGCCTGGGAATGTAGGCAGCTTCTGGAAGCTGGAAAGGGTAGGGGAACCGATTTTCCCCTAGAGCTCCAGAAGGCATGCAGCCCTGTGGGCCGACTTTAGACTTCTGAACTTGAGAACTACAGGTAATAAATCTGTGTCATTATAAGCCACCGAGTCAGTGGTCACCTGTTACAGCAGCCCTAGGTAGTTAGGCAGCTTCATGCGGAGTTCAGGTTTAATCTGGATGCAAGGGGAAGCCATCTGTGGAGCTGATGGAGGAGAATGATGCAGTTTAGAGGATCCCACTGGCTGCTGTACGGGGAATTGGTTGTTGGGGGACAAGAGTGGGAGGAAATGGGGGCCCTGGTTATGATTGCTTGCATAGGTCGGAGGCCACACTGATACTAAGGATGTACAGATGACTGTGCATGTCCCAGGGTGGAATGGACACACACCTGATCTGACCTGGGGGGCAGGAACGAGAGCGTCTAGGAGATCCCCATGTTCCTGGGGGTGGGGAGTGCCGAGGGGGAAGGATTTGGCAGAGCACAGAGCAGTGTGTGCAGTCAGGGATGGGGACAGAGGAGCTAGCCAAGGTGGGTTGGAAGGTTGTGGTCTCCAGGAGGAGTTCTGGTGGTCCAGAAGGTCATACGTGGCATAGATGTGACGAGTGAGAGTCCCCTGAAATTGAATGCCGTTCAGTGTACTTGGGCCATGGGAGAATTCTGTAAATTGTGCATTTTAGGATTGGGTAGGGGTGAAGCTTGGTGTATGTTGTAGTGGCAGAGCCCACACTTGGCCATTTGAGGGTCCTGCTTGAACTGCAGTTTGGGAGCTGGGAGCTGGGGGATGTATCTGTTGCTGAATAACAGATTTCCCCAGACCTAGCAGCTTAAGATAACAGTGGACATTTGCTGTCTCCACAGGTTCTCTGGGTCAGGGGTCCAGGGGTAGCCTCACTGGGTGGTTCTGGCTCAGGGTCTCATGGGGGTACAGTCATCTTTTAAGGCTTGACTGAGGCTGGAGGATCTGCTTCCAGCAGCACATGGTTGGCAGTTGGTGCTGGTGATTGGTGATGTCTCCCCATGAGGGCTTCCCTAGAGGGCTCACTGAGTGTCCTCATGACGTGGCTGTCATGTTTGCCCACAATGGATGATCCAAGAAAGGGCAAGACAAGCCACCATATTTACTCAGAAATGGTATTTACTCTGTCATTTCTGCAATACCCTGTTCCGTAAGGGAGGGGACTCCACAGGGCATGCATGAGGGTTCTGCTTTCTCCACATTCTTGCCAACACCTGTTATCACCTGACTTTGTGATTATAGCCATCCCACTGGGTGTGAAGTAATATCTCACTGTGGTTTTGGTTTGCAGTTCCCTGATGACTAAGGATGTTAATCAACATTGTATGGCTGTTTGCCTATCTTCTTGCCCCTTTTTAAATTGGTTTTTTTTTTTTTTATTGAGTTCTAAGAGCTCTTTATATGCTCTGGTTACAAAGCCCTTGTCGGATTTTTTATTTGCAGATATTTTATCCCATTCTGTGGGGTGTCCCTTCACTTTCTTGGTAGTATCTTTTGGAGCACAAAAGTTTATTTTAATGACGTCTGGTTCCTCTTTTTTCTTTTGCTGCTCATCACAGTTAAGAATCCATTGCCAAATATAGGGTCATAAAGTGTTAACCCCTATGTTTCCTTCTAAGAACATTTATAGTTTTAGTTCTGTGTTTAGATCTTTGGTCCTTTTGAATTAATTTTTGTATATGGCATGAAGTAGGGTCCAGTTTCATTTTTTTGCATGTAGCTATCTTGTTTCCCAGCCCCATTTGTTAAAAAGGTTATTTTTTTCCCACTGAACAGTCTTGAGAACCCTTTAAGGAATCAATCAGGTTTCTATCAGCTTCCACTGATCAGTAGATGCCTGTTGTTAGGCCTGTCTTGATTATAGTTTTATAGTAAGTTTTGAAATTAGGAAGTGCGCATGCTCCAAATTTGGTTTTCTTTTTCAAGACTGTTTTGGCTCTACTGGATCCCTTGAGTTTCCAAATGAATTTTGGAATTAGCTCCTCAATTTCTGCACAACAACCAGCGAGGATTCTGATAGAGATAGTACATTGAATCTGTAGTCAGACTGGGGCTGGCACTTTTCAGTCCTCTTTGCGTATATTAACTGATTAAATTCTCACAACAGCCCTATGAGGTAGGCCCTACTTTTGTTCCCATTTTACAGACGAGGAAACTAAGGCCTGCAGAGGTTGAGCAGAGTGCCAAAAGTCACACAACTGACCACATTCATCACTAAGTGCTAAGCCACCTGTCTGCTGCTGCTGGTTTTCTGTGGCCGGGCCTCCCTGGAGGGGCGGGGTGCTCTGACCCTCTCCCCCGGCTGGTGGGCTGAGTCCTTGGCAGGTGCCGCAGCTACTCCACATGCCTTGTGTTCCAGGCAGCTGGTCAAGGTCGTGTACTCCCCCACGGATTCTGCCAAGCTGAAAGGGAGCTCCAAGATGGACGTGAATGAGGAGGCTGAGGCTTTGATTGTCAAGTCCCCACAGAAGCAGCAGAAGCCGTCCTTGTTTAGGGTGCTATACAAGACCTTCGGGCCCTACTTCCTCATGAGCTTCTTGTTCAAGGCCCTCCACGACCTGATGATGTTTGCTGGCCCAGAGATCTTAAAGTAAGACTCCCACTTCCTCCCTGTCAGCTGGTAACTCTTTGTGGCCTTGACCTTTCACTTGTGACCACTCCCTGGGTCACACCTCCCTTGTGGCATGTCCCAGTGGGCTTACAGCCAAGTCTTGCCATCTTTACGTGCTTTACCCAGTGCTTTGCTTTAATACCACCTTTATTAAGGCATTGAGGCCACTTCGGGTGCTAGAAACCTACCAGGCGGCTCCCCTGAAGGCAAATGAGGAAGATAGAGATTGTTTTGAGAAACTAAGAGTCAGGAAATGCACCAGATCGCATGCAGACTGGAACTTGAAAACAGAAAGTCTGAAAGGAGGCCCCGTCACCTCCTCTGTGTCTCTGGGGCACCGTGTTCCTTCTCATTCCCTCCCTACTTCTGTCTCTTATGATCCATATTTGGTCACCTGTGGGTGACCCCCTGGTGAAGGGACAGAGCAGTCAGGGTGAGGATCCTAAGGCAGAGCCACCCTGTGGTGAGTGACGTGCGCCATCCACCCAGTCGGGTCCCGCGGGAGGGCTGAAGGAGTAATGGCCGCCTCGTCCGGCTCGGAGACGGTCGGAATGCCGCAGCCACAGGAGTTTTCCCTGTGCGTGCGTCACGGTTGCGTCATTCTGTCCTTAATCCCTCGCAGATTGCTCATCAACTTCGTGAGTGATAAGAAGGCCCCAGCCTGGCAGGGTTACTTCTACACGGCGCTACTGTTCATCAGTGCCTGCCTCCAGACCCTCGTGTTGCACCAGTATTTCCACATCTGCTTCGTCAGCGGCATGAGAATCAAGACCGCCATCATCGGGGCCGTGTATCGGAAGGTGGGTCGTAGGCCCGTGGGCTGACGCTGACACCTGCTGCAGCCTCAGAATCTGCAGGTTCTTGGCTGTGTCACCCACGGTCCACCGTGGGGGGTTCAAGCCCAGCTTCTGAAGCAGTAGCATGAGGGTGGCCTCAGCGACTGCAGATGGCAAGGTTTGACCATCAGGCGTTAGACTCAGCAGAGCTGATTTCAAGGGTGGGAGTGTAAGCTGTCCATGAGTGCCCGTGTCACTGTGGGTAATTGAATTTCTTAGGTAGCACTTGATTTGGGGAAATCCCCAGTCTGCTAGTACTACTCTGAGCATGCACTAACCCTCTGAATTGAGCAGGCTGTACTTTCCGCGGTGATAGAGTACTCACCAGGCATTTACGCACATCCAGCTTTAGAGGATGTGGATTACCTTCTCTGGCCCTTCATCTATTAGCCTCTGGGGCAACGATGTTACTTTGGCTCATGGGTTGGGAAGAGATGATAATAGCAGATAGTCAAGAAAGATGGACTAGTTCATTGCTTCCCAGCCCTTTCTGCAAGTGAGACTCATCTGTAGAGCTCCAGAACCTTCTGATGCCCAGACTGTAACCCTGACCAACTAAATCAGGGTGTCTGAGGGTGGCAACCTGGGTGCCAGTATGTTTTTTAACTCCCCAGGTAAAACCATGTTTGAGAATCAGGGTGATTTTGTCCCTCCCTCCAGGGGCTGCTTGGCAGTGTCTGGAAGCATTTTTGGTTGTCATAACGGGGACATCTAGGGGGGAGAGGCCAGGGGTGTTGCTGATCACCCTAAAGTGTGCAGGATGGCCCCACAAAGAATTATCCAGCTTCAAATGTCAGTGATGCCAAGATGGGGAAGCCCTGGCCAGACCTTGGTCTTTTAGTGTGATCTGGAGACCATTAGCAACACTTAGGAGCTTATTAGAAATGCAGAATTTCAGGCTCCACTCCAGTCTTCATAACTGCATCATGTAACGAATTCCCCAAGTGATGTGTGTGCATGCTAAAGTATGTAAAGCCCCGGGTTAGGCAACCCCTGAGGCCCCTTCCATACTGAAGAGCTCAAGATGGAGAGGCAAACAGGGCCCTTGATCAAAGCCAAGACTTTGTGTTGAGACACATGAGCTGGGAAGGCAGATAAGCAGTTAGGGGAGGAGAAAAGAGCAGTGGCCTGTCCATTCTTGAGTTGTCTCCTTCCTCCACACGGGTCTGGAGGGGAGGGCTCAGGGCTCTTGCCTGCCACACTCACCTTCTTTCCTTCTGCCCCACAGGCCCTGGTGATCACCAATTCAGCCCGAAAATCCTCCACTGTTGGGGAGATCGTCAACCTCATGTCTGTGGACGCCCAGCGGTTCATGGATCTGGCCACGTACATTAACATGATCTGGTCAGCCCCTCTGCAAGTCATCCTTGCTCTCTACCTCCTGTGGCTGGTGTGTGTTTGACTTTGTTCCTTTTGCACATAAGGAGGGATGTCCACTGTGGGCTGTGGGATGTGGGGGTGGGTGTTGATGATAAGAATCTCTCTTGCTCACTAGTAATTTCTTGCTGTCATTCACATTTCATTTTGTGGCCTGATAACCAGTTCCTGGATATTTTATCCCTTTCCTCACTTGTTGGGTTTATAATTTGGTTACATGGTATCTATTTGCCTTTGTCTTCTTGACAATGTATGCAATTTAACTAACGAGCCTTTAACATATACACCACATTTCTCCCACTGTATCCTCCCAAATGCTAACCAAACTCATTTATTCACTAGTTTTGAGTTATGTTGGTCAAATCTCTCTCAGTTGCAAGGGGTAGAGGTCCATGTTACCTTAGTCTAAACAAATAAAAGTAATTTTATGGGTGCATGGAACTGAAAAGTCCATTCTTGCTTCAGGCAGGGGTGGATCTAGGAGTTCAAGCAGTGCTGTATGGTTTCAGTCTTACTCTTTCATCTTTTGTTGGCATTATTTCCTGTGTTTTGACTTCATTCTCAATAGGATTTCCCCATGGTTTCCATAGCTTTGGGCTTATTTCATCTTTACAGATATTGGTGCCAGAGAAAAAAAGAGTACTGCATTCCTTTTTGCTTCAGCCAGAGCCCCAGGGAGCACTATGATTGACCTGGCACAGTCCTGTTCATATCCCCGAACCAATCACTGTCAAGCAAGAGGCAGAGTTCTCTGATTGGTCAGCCTTGGTCACTGTACCCTCTCCCACTGGAGAAGGGTGGAGGTGTGATTGACAGCACCCCCACAGGGGAGGCGCAGTTTGCAAAATAACAAGGTGATGAGCAACAGTGCTCACAGCCTGACATGCTTTAATCTTTCCCACCTTGAGCCTTTGCATGTGCCTCTCCTTCCACCAGGAATTCCTGTCCCTCTTACCTCTCTACAGATGAAAGCCCACCTATCTTGAAGTCTTTGACAAATACCACTTCTGTTCATTTTTTCCCCCTCAGTTAGATGGACTTCTTTTGTGAATACCAGTAACTCTAGCATAGGAACTTATCTGATTTTTACCTTCCAGAGTAGGTTTTTGTATGCTCGGCATACCACCCCGTCCTTCCCTGGTAACATGTTAGTTATGGACACAGCATCTTACTGTTGTGTCCTGTGAGTGCGGTCCCACCAGGACCTGGAGCATGAGAGGTACACAGCAAATTATCCTTTGATGGAAGGTGGTTTGCCTTTTTTGTGTGTATTTACAGAGCAGAAGATGAGTGATTGTAAGTCATTTTTAATAAGGACAGTTAGAAAATAAATGCCAGAATTTAAATATTAAAAAATTTTTTTAAAGTCTTGTCAGGCAGACATTCTTGGGGTATCTCCTTCCCCAGAAAACACTGCCATGGGTAAAAAATCTTTGGAACACTCCTTATAGAATTACCTTCAGGGCTGGCTTATGAACCATTAAGAAAACCGCTTTGTTTTAGACGAGGGTTGCTGAACACATTGCTGACGCTTGGGGCTGGATATTTCTTTGTTGTTGGGGGCTGTCCTGTGCTTTTTAAGATGTATAGCAGCATACTTGGCTTCTTCTTGCTAGGTTCCTATGACAATGCTCCCTTCTCCCCATTTGTCAACCGAGATGTCCCTGAGGGAAAATTCCTCCCTGTTTGGGAACCACTGGTGCGGCCTCAAAACAGGATCCCTCCATTTGCCCATCAAAACATGGTATAGGACAGTGGCTGACTGTGTGCCCTGGAATCAGATGGCCTGAGTGCAAATCCCACCACTTCCATTATTCTGTGACCTTGTTACTTAATGTCCCCAAGCTTCAAAGTCCTCCTCTGTAAATTGGGGAAGATGATGGTATTTGCTGTCGTAGGGACGTTGGGACAACTGAGTGAATTAATGCATGTAGTGTTCATAGAACAGTGCACAGTACATAGAGATGCTCAACAGCTTTTAGTTGCTACTATTTTCTGTCAGAGTTGATTCTGAATGCTTTAGATTGTTGTAGAAATCATCTTCATTCTCAAAGTTGGGTTAATCTTCACTGGGCAGAGATGCATCACAGAAATCATTTGGAGCAATAGCAGGTTTTGGTAATTGGGACTGAGCCCTCACAGGTGACCATGGAAGGAACTAACTCCTGTTTTTCTGAATGCCTAGTGGGGGGGGGAAAAGTCATATTACCCTATAGTTCCATGTGTGTGTTTGACCTAAGTAAATGTACACCCGGCCAACTTCCAAACTGTCGTCATTTGTAGGAGTTAAAAGATGTAGATCTGTATGTTGCCTTGGCCTCCTAACCTCTCTGAGGCTAGTTTCCTTATCTGCAGATGAGATAATAGAACATGTCTACAGCCTTTTATCTACGAATCCCCAAATCCAAAAGCTCTGAAAAAATGAAAGTCTTTCTTAACTCATTTGGTAGCAGAACGTAACCTGTGACATATTTATTATCTCGATTACCCCTCTCGGTGTGAATATGCCTATTTTACTGCTGCACAGTCAGTGCCTTTGATAATGGGGTGTTGGGCCAGGTCCCAGTCAGGGGAAAGGCAATATATGGGCATATACGCCTGTGTCAGGGTCCCCAAGGCCACACCATGGCTCGCTAGGAGGACTCACGGCTCCAACTTATTATATAGCACGGTTAGCAAAGGGTTCAGGGAGCAGATTTTATGGAAAACCAGGTCCTCTCCCAGCACTATTCCCCTAATTTCCCAACAATGAGTTGTGACAGCATATATGAAATGTTGCCAGGCAGGGAAGCATGGTTGAGACCCCACGCCGAGCGGTTTTAGTGGTTGCTGGTCACATAGGTAGCCTCTGCCTGATGCCAAACTTCCAGACTCCAGCAGGAACAGGGGTGTTCAGCATAAACTATATTGTTTGTGCACAGTTTCGGCACAGCAAGACACTCATCAATTACAAGAGTTGTGAGGACCCTCCCCAAATCCAAGCTCCTAGATGCTGGCCAAGGGCCATATTTGTAAGCTGGCCTTCAAACAAGATCAGCTTTTAGGCCTGTTAACTGTTTTCTGCTCAACACCTTATTTCCTTTTTCTTTTCCCAAGTTCTAATTTGCAAAACTTATCTGGCCTCCAAGGTTTTGGATTAGGGATTGTGGACATGCATATTCATCCAGGGACCTTGGAAGATGCTCAGGAATAAACCTGAAAATCCTCAACAGCCAGTAGCTGATAACAGTAATGCAGCTGGCCCGAGAGAGGAGGCGTGGGGTGGCTCAGCCCAGGGAAGCTCTGTGTTAAGACCTCTGTTCTCTTTCCTTCCTTAGAACCTGGGCCCCTCAGTCCTGGCTGGAGTGGCTGTCATGGTCCTCATGGTTCCTGTAAATGCTGTGATGGCCATGAAGACCAAGACCTACCAGGTGGGTGTTTGTGTCCACAGCACTGCAGGCTGGGTGCCTCCAGCACAGGCCCTGGGGGTTCAGCCTCACCTGCCGTCGGTGTCCTGAGGAGCTCTGACGCATGTGGATGCCTGGGCTCTGTTCTTTGGATGGGTGGGGCCTCGGAAGATTTTAAAGCTTCCCCAGGTGGTGATCACAGTGGGGAAGGTTCCTCAAGGTTGAGAGCTCCTGAAATAGACCTATTGAGCCAGTGACTGAAATCCAGTCTCTGAGCTTCTGAGAGATTCCAAAATTCCCATAGAATGTATTCATTTGTGTGAGTGGTTTCAAGAGTTGAGTAGAAATTATGCAATTCTCTTCTTATTACCTTATGTTAGATGCAGTGTTCAGCTCCTTATTTTCAGGGAGTTTTTGTACTTTTTAAGTTTTGAAGTATCCAAGCAACAGAGTGAATGAATGCCTTCTCATTATAAATCTGTTCAAATAATACCAAAGTATATAGATTAAAGGGGACGTGCCCTTCCTATTCTTGGGTGAATAGGAAGAATAGAACCCCTGTGAACACACTGAAGCAAATCCTTCTAGAAGTTCCTGTGTGTTTATGTAGAGATCTGATTATATAATTAGGCTTGTGTGCAGGTGTTTTTTTTTGTGGTATTACCATATATATTTTTACACAAATGGGCCTTTTTGTTGACCGATTTTATCGTTTGGCATTTTCCTGTGGCATGCCATGTAGTCTGACTTCATTCTCTTGAACTGGTGCCTAATGGTTCATGACAGATGGGCCAGGGTTTATTTCTCTGCTCTCCTGTTGGTGGTGGTTTTTAATATGCATTTGAGATTTCAGATGAAACCACTTGGCTGCACTGATGATGCCATAGGGGAGATGCATTCCAGGACAGGCACCTGTAGGAATGAGGGAGGGCCCATGATAGGCAGGGGAGTGGATGGAGGATGGCCAAAAGAAGGGGGCCTCATTCCAGCCCCATCACCTTTCATCCTCGCGATGTGTCAGTTTTCCTGAGCAGCCCACGTCTGAAACAGCTTCAGTTGCTGGCTTTGACCTCACACTGCTTAAAGTGTCCTCATCTGTGACCCTAGCCCTTACTGAAAGGGTTCTTGTGAGCATTAAATGACTCAATACACGTAAAATGCTTATCAAAGTGCCTCATGTATGGAAGATTCTGGATAGTATTCATATTTAACAGCTGTATATTGTGGGCACCCAGTGGTTGGAACCAATGCTCGCTGGTGTCGAAACATTTCAGTATTTTAATAACCATGCACTGGCTGAAAATCAATAAAGAAAATAAGAAAATGAAGGGGAAAATCCCAACATCATCTCTTTTGTGTTTAGGTCATCAGAGTAGGCCTGTGCCCCTTCTTCCCTGGACACCTGAAGGGTTTTTCTTGCCTCTATCCTCAGTTCCAAATTTAATAGATTTCCCTATGTCTAGTTTAACGTGATTCAGAGCAGGTTTTTCTCTTTGATAAAAGAGTCCTTTGGAGCACTCTCAGGGTCAAGGACAGGGTTCCTAGAGATTGCAGAGCCAGCTCTCCCACCCCCAGGGAGGCCTCTTTTTAATAGATGGGGATGTTGAGTGATGGTCGGATGCCAGGAACAGAAGTGAGCGGGCCAGTGAGATTTGGCATTGATCGTCCTTCCCCTTGAAGGTGGCTCACATGAAGAGCAAAGACAATCGGATTAAGCTGATGAATGAAATTCTCAACGGGATCAAAGTGCTAAAGCTTTACGCCTGGGAGCTGGCATTCACAGACAAGGTGCTGGCCATCAGGCAGGAGGAACTGAAGGTACTGAAGAAATCTGCCTACCTGGCAGCCGTGGGGACCTTCACCTGGGTCTGCACACCTTTCCTGGTGAGTGACGCCAAAGTTACCCTGGTCTGTATCATTTTATGTTCTGTTGTGTTTTCGTACCTAAATGTTTTTGGAAGATGACTATTTTTGTTTTCATACCTAAATATTTTTGAAAGGTCACTCCTTTTAAAGACTGCCACTCCCCTTCCTTTATTTTATTCAGAGACTCTGGTAGCTTCCAGCCCAGGGATACTCAAAGTAGCCAGTTCAGGAATTGCTTATTACAAGTTCGTTAGGAAGCAAGGAGCTGGCGCTGGGATGTTAACCAGCCCTCCCTGTTTCCCTCACTGAGAAAGCTTTGCTAGGAAAAAAACCAGAACTAAGCTGTATGCTTGGGGCCATAGTTGAGCTACATTATGGTGTCACCTCTTTGCTGCCAACTGGCCCGTTGACCACATTTCAGGGGGTCAGTTCCAGACCCACTCTAAAATTTACTCATTATTCCCTCTGTTGTCTACACTAGAATGTCAGTGCTGGGAAGGCAGGATTTTTGTCTTTTTGGTTCACTGCTGTGTCCTTAGTACTTAAAACAGTGCCTAGTAGGTGCTCAACAAACATCTTTTGTTCATCGTAAAAGAAAAAAAATTCAAACCATAGAGGAAGTTATAAAATGAAAAGTATGTTATTTTTCCTTCCATCTGTCCTATGCTCCAAAGAGACCATGAGTGTATCTTTTCAGAAAAAAAATGTTCATGCATGTGGATAGGTAAAAACATAATTTCTAACATATTTAAATGAAGTCATACTATACAGTGTTCTAGATCTTGTTTTGTACATAATGTATAACCTCTCAATTCCTGCATTTAGATGTGCTTCATCTGTCTTAATGAAGTTGTTCAGGACATGGATGTGCCATAGCTGGCTGAACTCATCTCCTTTTGCTGGATTTTTATTAGAATGTTCCCTGTTGTCTGCTTTTCTGATTCATGTTGCCCTGAATGTTCCAATATATATGGCTTGGAGTACCTCAATGGATAGCATTGGCTGACCAACTTTGAAAAGTTTAAAGACAACAGTGTGAGTTACTGTTTTCCAAAGGTGGCCCCCAACCAGGAGAGCATATAGCGCTGAACTATGGAAACCCTTTATGCATGGCTGAAAGCTAAGAATGGTTAATGTTAACTTCAGATCGGTCCCATGTTTGTTTTTTCCTTCTGTCTTTGTACCTTAACAATGTCATTATTTTCTTAATGTGCTGATAATGACTGTTTATGTCGGCCAATATATATTCTTAGGGGAAGTTTCTATGAACTCCAGTTAGCAGTTTCTGTAAACAGGAAAGGTTCTGTGAGACTGCCATCTGCTTCATGACAGCTAAGTTGCAGGTGGAATATTTGAGGAAACTCCTGCCTTTCCAGTGTTTGTCAAAGTGTGTTCCTTCTGACCCTGGATTTTCCTGGGCTCAGCTTAATGTCTCCCAGAGTCTGAACCCACATGCAAAAGCATTATGGTGGAAAACTGTGATCTCCAACCTGAGCTAGTTACAATGCAGCTCGCTGGGCCCTACCCAGAGTTTCAGAGCCAGGAGGTGCAGGTGAGGCTTGAACATTTGCAGTTCTGACCCCATTCACCAGGCACTAGTGCTGCTGTGGGTTCAGGGTACATGCTTTGAGAACTACTGGAGGGGCCCTCACTCCTCAGTGTGGCCCATGGACCAAGCAGCATTGATAGCCATCACCCCATTGGGAATGCAGACTCTCAGGCCTCCATGCCAGACCAGCAGAAGCAGAATCTGAAGTTTAGCAGGTGGTTCATGTGCCTGTGAATGTTTGAGAAATACTGACAAAAAGTAGGAGTAGGCAGCCTTTTTCTGTAAAGGGGCAACTAGTAAGTACTGTAGGCATTCTGAGCCATACGGTCTCCTAACTATTCATCTCTGCCAGTGTAGTCACAGATAATATGTAAATGAATGAATGGGTGTGGCTGTGTTCCCATAAGGTTTCATATAATCTTCATGTGTCCTAAAATAATATTTTGATCTTTTCCCCATCATTTAAGAATGTAAAATCCATTCTAAGCCCATGGGCCAGACATAAAATAGGTGTGGACCCATGGGCCAGTTTGCCGACCCCTGGCTTTTAGGAATGGATTGGTCTCCTGCGGGTCAGATGCCTGGTCACCATCATTCCGCCTCCCTGCCTCTAGGATTTTGCCTGTGACACACGAAGGGGTTAGGGGTGTGTCAGGCTGTCACATGGAGGCCCCTGCCCTTCCCTGCGTGGGGCCCACACCAGATTGTGTCGTGGTGCTCTCTCCTACAAGCGATGCTCAAGCAGCCCTCCAGGTGATCACTGCCAACTGGCTGGAGTTGGCACAAGAAGGGACATCTCTTAGCTGTTCTGGGATTCCGAGTTCCCTGAGAACGCTTCCGGCTCACACGCCAGCATTCCAGCCAGGAAGGTCCCACCTTCTAATTCTTTCCATTATCCAGTCTCCCCAGCTTTCCCCAGGTCTCTGATGACTCTGATTTTTAAAAGTAAAAATAATAAAAGACCAGATGGCAGTTATTTGGGGTGTTCTTTTTATTATGTTTCTTTAAACTGTTAGTCTCCACCTGTTTATAACTGTTAAATAGTCTCTTCTGTGTATGTGATACATTTTATTTTAAAAATAGAAAGTAATGCCTTTCTCCTGGTAAAAATAGTTTAAGCTGAACCAGAGGTTCCACAGCAGGATTCCCAAACCTCAGCATGCTTGACATTTGGGACCTGGGAATTCTTTGTTTCTTTACTGGGCAGGGGGAGGTGCTGGCCTGTGCACTGTGGGGGCTTGTGCAGCAGTACTAGCTGCTACCCACTAAATGCCATGTGGCACCACTCCCACCACCTCTCTAGTTGTGACGGTCAAAAACATCTCCAAACATTGCTGCATGTCCCTCCAGTTGAGAACCACTGGTCTGCAGTTAAAGGCCTGCTCAGACCTGTCACCTAGCTTCTCTCCCCAGACTAGCTTCTTTAGTGTATTTCCAGAGAGAACCTCCACATATACCAGCCTAATAGTGCCTAGATGTAATATATGTATTTAAACTTATATATCTCCTTTATTCACTTCTTTACATACTAATGTAAAAAAAATCATACAGAAATCCAAGGTGTTTTAAATTCCTTTTTTTAAAATTTTTCTATAGGCAAAGGTCTGTACCCAGAGGGAGCACGTGATCAGGTTTAATCCCTGGGTTGTATTACACCTGGCATGGTGGACATTTTTCCCCTAACCTTCTGCTCTGCACATTGGATCCTCCAACCAAACCTATGGTTTCTAGCTCGTCACTAGGATGTGCTGGCTGGCCCTGAACTTACCATCTCCTGCCCTGCTCTCCAGGAGGAAGCCGTGGCAGGAAGTGCTTATGGCAAGGACTGGCTTTTCTTGTCCTTGAATTTGCCACTCAGTTTTGGGGTGGGAAGGGAAGAGCAGGCCTTAGGTTTCCAGAGATGGGCTTTGTTGAGCTCTTTGCCATGAAACAGATGGGCCTGGTGTCTGTTGGGGACCTCAGCCCTGGCTGAAACACCGAGGCCTCTGACTACATTAGGATAAAATATGTGGCCTTAGGTTCCCTTGGAAGGTGTCGGTATGTTCTTTCCACTGGTGAATTCCTGTGCTTCAAGGGTGATGAGGTGTTTACCCAGTGGTAGGTGTGATGGAAGACAGGCCTGGGAGGCCAGACAAGAGTGGGGCCACCATTTGGCAGGATTGATGGGACTATTTTTCTGGAACACAGAGCCTGGCATTTATCATGTCCACTTAATGCACTTCTCTAAAATGGCCCAGGCAGCTGCCAATATTTAGCATTTTCTGTCTTGGGAGATTTGCAGACTTCTTGCCTCCTTTATTAGGATAATCATCATTCTATGTTGTAATTGCCTGTTGTTTAGTTCTCTGCTGAACATACATGAACCTTGTCTTGTTTTGCTTATATCCCTAGAACGTAGGGGACTTGGCAAATGGCACATGCTCAGTAAGTGTATGTAGAGCAGTGACTGAATAAATGCATGAACAAAAGATTTGGATAAACTGTATCAGGACCTCTCTTGCAATTGGTAGAAGCTGGAATCATTGACTAGAGTGAAAAAAGAAAGTGAAAGAAGTCTGGGAAAGTGTTGTTTTTAAGTATGGCTGGGGTTTCAGGTATGGCTGGATCTAGATGCTCTAAAGATGATACTGGGAAATACTCCCTCTCTATCTCCCAGTTCTGCTTTCTCCATGGGGTTTCTTTGACAGACAGGTGTTCATCACAATTACAATGCATCCCATCATCTTAATAACCCTTGTGAAGAGAGATCCCATTAACCTGTTTTTCTATTAGTGCCTGCAAAGCTGTGAAATTGAGTCTCACTGGTTGTGGTTGGCCCCATGCTTATCCCAGAATCACTGGGGCCAAGGACATAGAATGTTTAGATGGGACAGACCTGGGTCAGGTGGCTTCTGGTGGAGCTCAGAGTGTGTGTGTGTGATTCGTCTGTGGCCGAAGCTCATAGACTTAGATTTGGAGAGGTTCTGTTCCTCAAAGGAAAACTGGGTGTCATTACCAGAAGCAGAGGGGTGGGAGCTAGGGCGACAGAAAAGCCAGATGTCCATATACAGAGACGTTGGGTGTCTTAGGGGTTGAGTTGTTTGCTGTATTTCTGCGTGGTGGCACTAATAGCACAGAGCGAGATGCTTGGTCTTCATTGTTTGGGGACTTTTCCATCCCTGACCCACACCTGTTACAAGGCCAAGGCCCACCCACTGACCTGCCTGCAGCCCCAGTCCTGGTGCTGACCTCACACCCTTCTGAACACTCCCTGACGGAGAGAGCCTGGTTAATGCCTGTTTCTCTCTAGACCATGGGTGTCTAGACAGCCAAGCCTGCCTCACTCCCCAGCACACAATGCAAGTACACAGTAGAGAGGTGCTCAACTGGTAACTGACAGGTGATTAAATAAGCACCACTTCCTGGAGAAGCCAGGACTGTGGATCTGAGCAGCCACATGATGTTGCTCCCTCTCTGTGCATGCTCTGTGTTGAGCAGTCCCATTGGTTACCCAAGGAAGCTGGCATATTCTGGTGGGGAGATGCCTGAGCCCTGGCTGTCTCCACTGCTGAAGAGACCCCTCTGAGTGTATGCTGTTCTGCCCTTGGACAAATGCACCCACCGACCTGTCTGTCCGTCCATCTGTCCACCCACCCGCAAGGGTTTACTGAGTATATACCATTATCCAGGCCTCTCCTAGGCAACAAGGATAGAGTGGTGACTACCGCAGACCAGAATCCTTACCCTCAAGGAGTGTTCACTCATTCTAGTTGGGAAAGACAGACGATAAACAGCAGGCATAATGAATACATCAAGTCATATGCTAGACATGTCATAAGTGCTGTGGGAAAACGATTCAGGTCAGACGATAGGGAGGACTTGGGGTTTTGAATAGGATGAGTAAAGGCCCTACTGAGAAGGACCTGGTGGCAGGTCCCACTGTGGAGGGGGAAGAATGAGCCAGAGACCCTGAAGCAGGACTGTGCCCCACCATGGAGGAGCCCAGCAGGATGGGAACAGAGGGAGTGAGGGGCAGTGTGGGAGGCGAGGAGGCCAGACAAGTTATGAAGGGATGTTTACACATCACGTGGGTGCTGGGGTGCAAGTCAAGGCTTTGGCTTCTGTACTAAGGACAAGAGACTTGACTGCAGAGAGCTGTGGCTTTTGTTGTTGTTATTATTTAGATATAATTCACCATTTTAAAGTCTACAACCCAGGGGCATTTAAATATCCACAAAGTTTTGAAACCATCAGCACTGTGTAATTCCATGACGTGCTCCTCACCCCAGAAGGAAACTACCCTCACTGGCAGTCGTTTGCCACATTCCCCTCTGCCCCTGCAAACTGCCTTTCTGTCTCTGTAGATTTGCCTATTCTGGACGGTTCCTAGAAGCAAAATCATATTCTGTGTGGCCTCTTGTGTCTGCTCTGCCTTCTTTCCACTTAGCATCATGTTTTCTGAGTTACCCACGTTGCAGCAGGTACTGCTGCTTCGTTCCTTTATATGGCAGAATGCTGTTCCTGTGTGTGAACCTATGTAGGGAGTTCTGCATAGGAGGCCAGGGTGTCAGCTTGCCCGTTAGTGTCAGAGCCAGAGCAGGAACCAGCTCTGCTTCCCACACCCTTGCTCTTGCGACCTAGTCAGTAGAGGACCCTGAAATACACTGGACCATGGCCACCCAGAGGCAGGGCTGCTCAGTCTCCTGACTTCTCAGCAGGCCAGGCAGTTTATTTCCCCCAGGAGAGCCTTTAATGGCTTTACTAGCCCAGGGCTGACATGAGGTGGGGACTTTTGTCCTTTTGCTGGGTCCACCGTTTTCCAAATTGCTCCTGATAGCAGGTACCAGCAGATCTTACTGGATGGCTGTTAATCAGCCTCCTGGCAACACCTGGGGCTGCCCTGGTCCCGCAGTGCGGGGAGGGGGCCTATCCACCTGCTGATCTTCCACCTCCCTCCTGGATTTCTCAAGGGGTCCTTCTTCCTGACAAGGGAGGTGAGGGGCTGCTGTCCCAAACAACCAAACCCAAATTCTGGTTGGCTGGGAGCCTGGGTAGTAAAATCCTGGGGACCACCACAGGGCTTAGAGGCAAGCCTGACTGTGAGGAAAGATGAGGCCTCCGGAGAGCTGTGGGCTGTTTATTTTCCTTTTAAAAAAAAAATCAGTGTTCCTTCCTTGGGGTGATAAAACCACGTACTCTGAGCCAGAAGGAACTGTAAGTGGTGCCATTAAATCTCCACCTCCATGCCCATTTCACAGATGAGTCTGCTGAGGCTCCGGGACAGTAGGTAACTTGCCCAAGGTCTTGCTTAGTTTTCCCGTGTGCCTGGGATTGTGCTAGGCACAGAGGACACAGTCATGTGCAAAACCTAGTCCCCGCCTTTGTGGAGGTTCTGTTCCAGTGCGGAAATAGATAGTAAGTACATATAATATGACAATAAAAGGTGGCGATCAGTGCTGTGAAGAGAAATAAACCAGGAGAAAAGAGTGGAGAGCAATAGCAGAGCTGTGTGGGAGCAGTAGGCAGCCTCTCTGAAGGGCAAGGGGGGTAACCAGGCCACCACACGGATGGGAAGGTGTTCCAGGCAGAGGAAACTGCAGGAGCGACGGCTTGGAGGTGGGATTATGCTTGGTGTTGTCGAGGAATTCCAAGAACACGGGTCCAGTGTGCCCCAGAGGAAGTTGGTGGGAGAGGCTCCTGGTCACTCATCTGTCCAGTGCGCGCTCTGAGTGTTGAGTGAGTACCCGCTATGTGCTGGACACCGCCCTCAGTGGTCAGTCATGGGCCATTGCTGCTCCCGTGGGGAGGCCCTGAATGTATGCCGGGGGGCATGTATCTGCTCCTACAGCTGGGACTGAGACTCAGAGACACAGGTCAGTGCTGGGCGCTCTGCTTACAGGTGGCCCTGTCCACGTTCGCTGTCTACGTGACCATTGACAAGAACAACATCCTGGATGCCCAGAAGGCCTTCGTGTCCTTGGCCTTGTTCAACATCCTTCGCTTCCCCCTGAATATTCTCCCCATGGTCATCAGCAGCATCGTGCAGGTACTGGCGGGGCTGGGGGGCTCAGGGAGGGGATTCTCTGGGAAACCGAAGCAAAAGGGCATGAAAATCACCATCCATGCAGCTCCCTCCACGTGACCCTTCCTACTGTGTGTGGGGGGCTCGGTGAGGCCCAGGCCAGCGACTTTCGTGCATTTTTGGTCATGCCCCAAAGAAGTACATTTTACCTCTTGACAGGGAAGTCTCACTTGAAATATCTGAAACAAATGTTGAATGCAACAAGGCTTTCTCGTGCTCCGTGAGACTCTGAAATATTTATCTTGCTCTATTTTGATCTGATCAGTTCCACCCTGCCTTATCTTATCCTCTTTTTTTAAAAAACTGCATCTCTTGACCCACAAACTTGAGTTCACCATCCACTAATTGGCCTTGACCCACCATTTGAAAAGCCCAGCCTCGACCCCCTGTAATTCCTAAAATTGTAGGTGACTGTGAGAAGAAGCTGCTCTATCACACACACACTCCTACACTGTTGAAGCTCCTGCCATTTTCTGCTGGGACTATTTCTCTCTAGCAAAGCACACATTTTTGTGGAAAACCCCATTTTCAGCCCCAGATCAGCCATAAGATTTGATTGTACAGCTCTGGTTGTGGGCTTTCTTTTAAAATATATACAAATAAGCCATTTTTTGTTATGGAAAATTTCAGATGTACACGAAAGTAGAGAATAATATAATAATGAACTTCTGTGTACCTATCACCCAGATTCAACATTTTGCCAACCTTGCTTCATCTTATCCTTCTCTCTCCCCGCCACACTGTCCCCCCTGCATTCCTTTCTTCCTTTGCTGAAGAATTTTATAGCAAATCCCAGATCTATTGACATTTTATCCTAAATGTTTGAGTGTGCATTTCTGTTTACATAATTATAACACCATTATCATACCCAACAATTAATAGTAATTTCTTAAAATAATGCCCAGTCCATATTAAAATGTTCTGGATTATCTCAGAAATACCTTTACAGTTGGGCCATTTGAACATAGGACCATTGTGGTTTTTTGTTTTTTAATTTATTTTTCTTGCGATATAATTGATCTATAACATTGTGTAAGTTTAAGGTGTACAATGTGTTGTTTTAATACACCGATGTATCACAGTATGATTAGGCCTGTAGCTTAGCTAACACCTCTGTCAAGTGATGTGGTTATCCTTTTCCGTTTTTGTAGTGGGAAGCATGAAGATCATAGCCCGACAGTATTGCTGACTACAGTCACTATGCTGTGATAAGACCTCTAGATCTTATTTCTCTCCATTTGCCGTTTGTACCCATAAATGGGACTTTTGCCTTTGCTTCTGAAGTCCCTTGTCATCTGGGAGAGTCCCCCTACCCTCCTTTTTAGTACCGGTTGTGGGCTTTTCAAGGAAAACAAAGGAGAGTCAAAACGTGTCTTAGCTTTTATTCTAAGGTGTTCGCTTGATATTAGCAAATGCAGCGCCCTCAGACGTAGGCAGGATGTGGGCCCTTCGCACTTGGAAAACCACTGAAAGTTAGCCTAGGTCTGTTGTGCAGAAATGCCTTTAAAAATAACTACTCCCTGTAATTACTGTCTGTGCAGGCAAGTGTTGCCCTCAAGCGCCTCAGGATCTTTCTGTCCCACGAGGAGCTGGATCCCAGCAGCATCGAGCGGCGGCCCGTCAGAGATGGTGTGTGCGTCGGGTCCTCTGCGCTGGGAGGCCTGCCCTTGGGTCTGGCTCTGCACTAGGGCTTTCTGCGAGGCCCCAGGGAGCAGGATGTGTGCAGAGTGGGGTGGACTTGCAGGGTCTTATCTCACACATCCCAGGGGATGACCATGCACTTTGGTTTTCCTGCTGCTTTCTGTCTGCAAGACGGCCGCTGGGTGAGACCTTCCGCTGCGGGTCAGGCTCCGGTGTTCTGGGCAGATGGGCAGGCAAAACAAGGTTGATGGGGACCTAGCAGCCTCCAGCATCTACTAGCTGTGTGACCTTGGGTGGGTCACTTCACCACTCTGAGCCTCAGGTTCTCCATCTAAATATTGGGAATGGAGGCTTTCTTTGGCAGGGAGTTAAATGGATTTTTATTGGTAGGTTTGTTTATTTGGTAGCTTATTAATTTATCCTTTCCCAGTCGGCTGCAGGAGCAGGATTCTTACTCATGGAGGTATCCAGGCACTTGGAGACCATGATAAATATTAACAGCAGTGACCACTGCCACTTACATGGTGCTTACTTGCTAAACACAGGATTGTGGTGGTCATTTCTTCTCTAGTGTAAAAAAATGATCTGTGGCATTTTTCATATGACGTGTCTATATATATATATATATATATATATATATATATGTATGTATAATATATATACACTATGTGTATACTATATTATATGTATGTTATATATATAGTAAGCCCTCCTGTAGGGCTGGGCTCCTTAACCTTGTCTCTACTGATACCTGAGACCAGAGCATGCTTTGCTTGGGTGGGGCTGTCCTATGCATTATAGGATGTCGAACACCATCCCTGGCTCCTACCCTCTAGGTGCCAGCGCATCCACCCCGATTGTGACAGTCAAAAATGTTCTCAGGTGTTCTGTCCCTTGAGGGGCAGAGTTGCCCCCAGTTGGGAACCACTTGCTCACTGGCTGCTGAGATCTCCCCAGTGTGTGGTCGTCCAGTTTCTGCTGTCCTGAGGTCCCAGTCCCCCTGCCGCATGACCTGGTTATCATTTTCCTTTTTGTAGTGAGAAGTGTGAAGATCTTAGCAGTTTAGAAGTCTGTAATATACGATTGCTAACTGCAGTCACTATGCCGTGATAAGACCTCTAGGTCTTAAACAAACAAGTGATGCCATCTAAAGGAGGAGTGGAGGTTTCGAGCTACTGAAGTCGTTCCCAGCTCACCCCAGGTGCCACGCTGGAAAAGCCCTGGGTTCACAGTGCCGTCCGGGTCTCAGCCTTCCTGCCGTGGTGGCAGAGTTCCGGCCTTTGACGTCCTGGGGTGTTTACCCCACTCTCCTGGTGCCACATGGGCTGCCTTGGCAGCTTGTCAGGTCTCCAGCTTGTCTGACTCAAGTGGTTTTTCTTAGATTCCTTAAATAGCACCTTCAGTTCCTTTTCTTCTCTGTGGGGTGGGGGTGAGCGCAGAGGGAGGGGGTTGCGGTAGATTCACCAGCCAACTTCCTCTTGCTTTGGGTCATGAGCCTTTGATGCTTGGAGCAATTTATGTCTTTATTTGACAACTTAAAAACACCCCCATCTTATCTGTAAATGGTTTTAAGGTGGCTCATAGTTAAGAGTCAAAGACTGCTTTTGTTTAAGTGTGAGGCATGAAGGGCAAGTAAATGACTTCATAGGTGCTCGTAGCCTTGGAAACACAGGGAGCTGTTCATATAATACAGGCTTTGTCTTAAATACTCCCCCTCCCCTGAGCCGAGGCACACCACTGTCTGGCCCATAGCTGCTTTTTCCCAGTTTGTGGGGACTGGTGTCCTACCAGGGTTGGCCTGCTGCCCTGGAGCAGAGTGGCTGGGCTGGGCGCAGTGAGGGAGGAAGAGGATGCAGGGAGATTCCACTCTGGAATCCAGTTCTGGGGAAAGGACCCCGCAACCTGACGGAAAGAGGGTTGCCTGAGGTTGCTCCTCATTCCTCACTGACCTTAGCTTTTGCTCAGGCCTCGCAGTTGAACTGTCCGCGCCTCCCAAGATGGGGATGAGGGAGGCCCTGGAGCCTGGTGCAACCCGTGGGCCCACTGGCCTTTGTGAGATGGCAAGTGGCTGGCACAGCCTCCTGACTTTCAGGGCCGAACCCTCTTGCAGTTTCCTGCTGCTTTCAGGGTCTGAGGCCGCCTCCAAACAGCTGGTTAGGGTTTTTCTTTTGACACCGTGACTGCTGTAACCAGATACACCCAGGGCAAGTGTCTAGCATCTGGGGTCGAATTGCTTGATTAGCAGGAAAAAAATAAAGCCTCCTTGGACTGGGGCTTGGGCCTGTGACTCCATCTATGCTCATATGCTGTCTCTGGTGCTCCTTCAGGCGGAGGTACGAATAGCATCACTGTGAAGAATGCTACGTTCACATGGGCCAGGAGTGACCCTCCCGTGCTGAATGGGTGAGCCTGGCTGAGGGGAGGACCACAGGGCTCCCATCAGATGTGGGTTTGAATGCCAGCTGTGCTCCAGCACTGTGATTTTGAATAGGTTGCTTTGTCTTTTGGAGCCTCAGTTTACCCATCTGGGAAACAGATCAGTTACACCTGCTTGGGCTGTGGTGAGGAGCAGATGAGAGTGTGCCCAAAGGGTTCCCTTGGATTTTAAGTGAGAGAAACTTTGCACAGATAGGCTTAGGCAGCAAACGGAAATTTTGGGCTTGAGTAACTGAGAAGGATCACTTTCAGGTCCAGTGTGATCCAGGGGCTCACCGCCATCAAGACTCTCTCCATTTGTCTTTGTTCCGTTTCCCTGTGTGCTCCTGCCTTCTCAGGCTCATGATGGCAAATGGCCCCCATCAACTCCAGGGATACCTCCTCTCTTGTCAGGAGACGCCCCACCCTGCCTCTGACTGGCGCAGATCAGGTCATGTGTCCCCGCTGAGCCCACTGCTGTGCCAGGAGAGACTGAGCGCCCTGGTTGGCCAGGCCACAGCCAAGACTTTTGCTGTGCATTGGCAGGAGGCCTGGATCTGCTGGACGGAACTCCTGTTCGCTTGGATGTGCTATCAGGATGGAATTGTTCTTCTCCGTCCTCTCCACAGTCCCCAAGCTGCCTGGCTTACCCTCTCTGGCCATGTCCCCATCTGGCACCCAGTGTTTATCTTTCCAAAGCACATGGTGTCCAGGGAGTTAAACTGGTTCCCCAGGCAGCCTGTCAAGTGCCTGTCACTTCTTTCTGACTGGGACCCATGCTCAGTGGTGCTTTTAGGCCCTGTTACGGAGTCTCTAAAACACAGGGCCAGAAGGGACTCTATAGGGGCCACATTTATTCCCATGCCCCTAAACAGTTGCCCTCTTACTGGGTAGCCAAGTTACTGCTATATTTTATCTGAGGAGGCAGGGGGAGAGGAGCACAGGGGAACAGACTCACCAGAGAGAAAAATCTGTATACCACCTCCCTTGAAAATTATTGGTGGGATTGCATGTTCAGGAAGTTCTCCCTTATGTCTAACTTAACTCCTGCCTGCTTCAATTTTACCTTTCCTCTCCCATCCTGGTCCACAACTAAATAATCTACATCTGTGCCCACATCCTTCCCTCCATCCTTCCAGAGCCAAAGGCCACCTTGTTCTAGGAACCCTCCCCACCAAATCCTTTCTCCAACCAAACCTTTTCTCTCCTCAACCTATAAAAATATTCCATTTTCATCTGGACGATCACAGGGGCTGCCTCACAGGGCTTCCTGTTTGCACCCGGCCCCATAAGCCTGTGATGTCACAGCAGGTGCGCGAGAATTAAACAATGACAGCCAAGTCTAACGGCATTCCCACTTGTACGTGGACATGATGAGAGTAGCAGCTGAAAAGCACAGCCGGGCAGATATCCCCAGTGAGGCCCCAGCAGCCTTGCCTGCCCTGCCCTGGGGCGTGGAAAGCACCAGAGCTCTGACTTTGCTGTTGACAGTGGGAGCAGTGAGCAGCTATCCCATGGTCCCCTGACAGCCATTCTCACTAGCAGAACATTGAGCTAATTTGTACTCAGCTTACCGTTGTTTGCTTAGGTGATATCTGTAGAGATGCATTTCCAAAACTTCCAGAACTCAGATTGTCTCATGTCAGGCCCTGCTTCAGACCCCTCCTGGCTCCCAGCAGTGAAGCTCTAACATCTTAGCACAGGGTCTTTTGAGGTTCTCGGGCCTGGCCTCCTCCCTGCGGCCTCATCTTGTGTTATGGGCTCCCTGCTCACACCTGTTAGGTCACCCCCTCGGGTCTTTTCTCAAGCTGTTCACAAGCATCTGCCTGGTGCAGGCGTGCCCTTCCAGCAGAGGTCATTTTGAGCCGTCCTCTCCCGTAGGACACCCACACTGTGCCCCTAGACAGAGCTGCTGCCCCAACCCTGTCAGGCTCCCTTACCATGGCCCTTTCCCCAGGTGTCCGCTGCTCTGTTTTCTCAGCTGTGTTGGCCTCCCAGCACCTGTCCCCTGCTCATGGACAGCCCTCTGACACTGTTCCCTGGACTGTGCTGGGCAGTAGAAAGGCTGGGACCCAGCTTCCATCCCGTTCCACTCAGGGAAACCCAGCTGGAGTGGGCCAGGCCATCAGTTCAGGTGAGAGCGTGGCTGAGGCAGGGTGTGTTGTGTCGTTTCAGCATCACCTTCTCTGTTCCGGAAGGTTCCTTGGTGGCCGTGGTAGGCCAGGTGGGCTGTGGAAAGTCATCCCTGCTCTCTGCGCTCTTGGCTGAGATGGACAAGGTGGAGGGGCACGTGGCTATTAAGGTAGGATGAGGGCAGGGGCATTGGGGTTGCTGACGGCCTGAGAGGATGGGCAAATGCAGTGTTTTCTTCTCTGATGGTCCCAGTGCTTGAGAGGTCTCTCCTCCTGCTCTGTCTTTCTTATTCTTCCTGTTCTCCTCAGTGCCATCCTGCAAGGCAAGATTTGGTATAATTTATTTCCTGCTGTATCCCAACACCAAGAAAAGTGCTCAGTATACAGTAGGCACTCAGTATTTAGTAAGCACATGCATGCTCCTAGTTCCACTCGCCATCTCTCCCCACCTGTGTCCCTTGGTCTGCGTCTTGTGGTCTTTACGTATGAGTCTTTCTGGCTTGTTTGTTCTCTATCTGGTTCTCTCTGTGTATCTCTGTGTGTTTATCAATGTAACAAAACTTTAAAATGTTTTGATTTATGTCGTTGGAATATTTTCTTAGAGAATTCCTTTTAAGGGAACTGTTTGAATTCTGAGTATTCGTTGAATTTCTAAGATGGAAGTCTTAAAAGGAAGACTGCAATTTTTACTGCTCTTAAACATGCAGTGTACTTTCAACTAAGTTGGAAGATTCCTTAAGAGAGAGTTGAAGATGCTGCTTACAGGACAAATGAGTCCCATTAGAAATCAAGAGCCTTGTTCAGCATTTAGCTCATTCCTCACAAAGGCCTTTTGCCAGGGGAGGAAACTTCCCTTCATGATTTGTGGACACCAGCGTTTCCTGGAATGTGGTCTGCAGCAAACTCACCTTGCTGGACGTTTGGGGAAGAAAGAGTCCTGGGCTCAGACAAGGGAAAAAAGCATTCTCTGATTCCTTCCCTCTTGGATGCTTGAAATAAACATTGAAAACAACCTATTTAACTTCGGCTAACTCAGCGTGGCCCACATATATTTGCTCGTTCCTCTTTTTGATCTGTGCCACAAGTGTTAGATTCCCAGAATTACTGTCTTTTTATAATCTACTTTTGGGGGTCCTGATTTCTGCCATCGTTTTTATTTTGGAGCAGAAGTCTTTCTCTGTTGTTCATATGATGTCCTTTAGCCTAGTAGGCATTAGTAGAAAGGTACATTACGATAGTTGGGTCCAAACTAATGACATTTAGCTGTTGATTTAAGAAATACTCTGTCCTTACTTTCAAGTACATGTTATAAAGTAAGATTAATGGGCAAATGTGAGCTAGGTTAATGGAAAAAAATTACAAATCATGGTAGGATCCACACTGCATTGTGTTTCCTTAACCCTGGGTTTTTACAACCGCAGCACTATTGACATTTTGGACCAGATAATTCTCTGCTGTTGGAGGGGCTGCCCTGCACATGACAGGGTGTTTAGCAGCAACTAAACATCCAGATGCCAGCAGCAGTCTTTAGTTGTGACAACCAAAAGTCTCTAGACACTGTCCAATGTCCCCTGAGGAAAAAATTGCTCCCAGTTGAGAACCACTGTTTTAAAGTAAAAAGAAATGCAGAAATGCTGGATCTGGAGGTTGAGGGTGCACTGAATATTTGGTGTGCCAAGGTTGCAGATCTGTTTGTGACTGGTTATGTTGCTTTGGTAAGGGGAGTGCTAGAAATGTGTTTAAAATATTTATTTGTTCCAAACATTTAGGTTGGTGGGGCTTGTGCATGCCATCTCTGAATTATCTGTGGGATTTATGGTGAGGCTTTGTGACATGTGAGCCTCTTGTAGGATATTAGAATCAGCAATTTAGTTATCTGAGAATGAAGAGTAGAAGTTGAAATACCTATTTCCACTCCCAACCTTGTCCCCCTAGAATTCCCTTATTTCAGAATCTTCAGTGGCCCCCCCATTGCCCTTCTAGTAAAGCCCACACTCATCACCAGGACCTCTAGCCTAGTGTGAGCTGGCCTTTACAGACCTCCAGCTTTTTCCTGCTTGCTTTTCCCTTGCCATGATGTTCCTGTCACACCACCTTTCCCTTCCTGTTCCTCGAACATGCCAAATTCTTATCATCTTAAGGGCTTTGCACATGCTGTTCCCTCTGACTGCAGTGCTTTTCCCATTTCTTTTTGTCAGACCAACTTATCCTCAACTGTTGGTCTGTGCTTTGCATTTTTTAAAATTACTGACATACATAAGACATACCATCACCCTAGTCCTTCCTCTCATGCCATTCTTAACACCTTACATCATGTGGACAGAAGACAACATAATTCTCATCAAGAAAATGTCTTCGACGCATCCTTCCCTGATGTTCCACGGCTAGGTTTTCCCCTTTAAAGAACTTTTTTTAAAGGCATCATATATTTTTCTCTTTTAGTATTTATCACAAGCGTAATCAAATAATTATTGTTAATCATGTCTGAGACTTCCCATTCTTGGGAGGCAGGAGGTTATTTTTGCCACTGGAGGCATTCAGTGAATATTTAATAAATACTTAACTATAATCTCACCAGTGAGGATTTTAGCTCTTAAACTCCTGGTATTAGAGTCAGTGACTAACCTGGTATGGGTTCTGATCCCAGTTCTGGCACCCCAGAGGTCTCTGTGACTCAGTTTCCCTCTCACTGAAACAGTAGGTATGATAAAAGTGTCTTAGGAAGTAGGGTTCTCCCGGTGGATGCTGTCTTGTTAACCAAGTTTGTCTTCTGTTTGCCATCTAGGGCTCAGTGGCGTACGTACCCCAGCAAGCCTGGATTCAGAATGATTCCCTCCGAGAAAACATCCTTTTTGGACGCCAACTACAGGAACAGCATTATAAGACTATAATAGAAGCCTGTGCCCTCCTCCCAGATCTGGAAATCCTGCCCAGTGGGGACCGGACAGAGATTGGTGAGAAGGTCAGTATGGCTTCACCATGAGCTCCTATATCAGTCAGCTGTTGCTGTGTAACCTCGCTGGCTGATGATGTTAAACACTCTCCTATTTGTGGGTGTGTGAGTTGACTGTGATTGGCTGACCCAGACTTAGCTCAGCTGGGTGGCTCTGTTCCATGTTGCAGGCCAGCTGAGCTTGGCTCCAGGCTGTGGTTCTGGCTCAGGTACTATTTCATTCTGGCCAGGCGCTCTGCTAAGCACTTTACATGTATTTTGTACTCATAGCAAGCCCATGAGATGGGATTTACTGTTATCCTCATTTAATGGTTGAGAAAGAGGCACAGAGAAGCTCAAGGCCTGAGCCCCTTCACACCTCTGGGCATTTGCACATGCTGCTTGCTCCCTCTGGTGGCCAGCTTGCTCTAGCGCCCCCTGGTGGTTATGTGGCATGCGCTCGGAGGTGCACGGCAGGTTCAGTTTTTGACTACAGCACAGAGGAGCTTTCCATTTCGTTTTTAGTCACAAGCCAGTGGCTCCACCAGCTTTCTTGGCTGGTGAACAGCAGCTTTTATTTGACGGCAATCTTCAGCTCCTTGGAAAGAAAAAACATTTGCAGGGCTCTCTGGGATTGCAGATAGCAAAGGAGCCTGAGTTAGCATAAGTAGAAAATGAGAACTGAGTCTAATGGATTGTGTGGAACCCAAGGGCTGTAATGTAACGGGGGCTCCCCAGACAGAGAACCTGGTTCCTCCTCTGTCTTTCATCTCTAGTTTTCTGCACACCAGCTTTTTTTTTTTTTTAACAAATCTCTGCCACTTGGAGACTCCTAACTCTTTCTGGAGGGAAAGCATATGTCCTTATTTCAGAATCTTCAGTGGCCCCCCCATTGCCCTTCTAGTAAAGCCCACACTCATCACCAGGACCTCTAGCCTAGTGTGAGCTGGCCTTTACAGACCTCCAGCTTTTTCCTGCTTGCTTTTCCCTTGCCATGATGTTCCTGTCACACCACCTTTCCCTTCCTGTTCCTCGAACATGCCAAATTCTTATCATCTTAAGGGCTTTGCACATGCTGTTCCCTCTGACTGCAGTGCTTTTCCCATTTCTTTTTGTCAGACCAACTTATCCTCAACTGTTGGTCTGTGCTTTGCATTTTTTAAAATTACTGACATACATAAGACATACCATCACCCTAGTCCTTCCTCTCATGCCATTCTTAACACCTTACATCATGTGGACAGAAGACAACATAATTCCTCATCAAGAAAATGTCTTCGACGCATCCTTCCCTGATGTTCCACGGCTAGGTTTTCCCCTTTAAAGAACTTTTTTTAAAGGCATCATATATTTTTCTCTTTTAGTATTTATCACAAGCGTAATCAAATAATTATTGTTAATCATGTCTGAGACTTCCCATTCTTGGGAGGCAGGAGGTTATTTTTGCCACTGGAGGCATTCAGTGAATATTTAATAAATACTTAACTATAATCTCACCAGTGAGGATTTTAGCTCTTAAACTCCTGGTATTAGAGTCAGTGACTAACCTGGTATGGGTTCTGATCCCAGTTCTGGCACCCCAGAGGTCTCTGTGACTCAGTTTCCCTCTCACTGAAACAGTAGGTATGATAAAAGTGTCTTAGGAAGTAGGGTTCTCCCGGTGGATGCTGTCTTGTTAACCAAGTTTGTCTTCTGTTTGCCATCTAGGGCTCAGTGGCGTACGTACCCCAGCAAGCCTGGATTCAGAATGATTCCCTCCGAGAAAACATCCTTTTTGGACGCCAACTACAGGAACAGCATTATAAGACTATAATAGAAGCCTGTGCCCTCCTCCCAGATCTGGAAATCCTGCCCAGTGGGGACCGGACAGAGATTGGTGAGAAGGTCAGTATGGCTTCACCATGAGCTCCTATATCAGTCAGCTGTTGCTGTGTAACCTCGCTGGCTGATGATGTTAAACACTCTCCTATTTGTGGGTGTGTGAGTTGACTGTGATTGGCTGACCCAGACTTAGCTCAGCTGGGTGGCTCTGTTCCATGTTGCAGGCCAGCTGAGCTTGGCTCCAGGCTGTGGTTCTGGCTCAGGTACTATTTCATTCTGGCCAGGCGCTCTGCTAAGCACTTTACATGTATTTTGTACTCATAGCAAGCCCATGAGATGGGATTTACTGTTATCCTCATTTAATGGTTGAGAAAGAGGCACAGAGAAGCTCAAGGCCTGAGCCCCTTCACACCTCTGGGCATTTGCACATGCTGCTTGCTCCCTCTGGTGGCCAGCTTGCTCTAGCGCCCCCTGGTGGTTATGTGGCATGCGCTCGGAGGTGCACGGCAGGTTCAGTTTTTGACTACAGCACAGAGGAGCTTTCCATTTCGTTTTTAGTCACAAGCCAGTGGCTCCACCAGCTTTCTTGGCTGGTGAACAGCAGCTTTTATTTGACGGCAATCTTCAGCTCCTTGGAAAGAAAAAACATTTGCAGGGCTCTCTGGGATTGCAGATAGCAAAGGAGCCTGAGTTAGCATAAGTAGAAAATGAGAACTGAGTCTAATGGATTGTGTGGAACCCAAGGGCTGTAATGTAACGGGGGCTCCCCAGACAGAGAACCTGGTTCCTCCTCTGTCTTTCATCTCTAGTTTTCTGCACACCAGCTTTTTTTTTTTTTTAACAAATCTCTGCCACTTGGAGACTCCTAACTCTTTCTGGAGGGAAAGCATATGATTGGCTGAGCTTGGGTCTGGTGTCTGCCCCTGGGCCAAAGAGCTGTGGTCAGAGGGACCATCCAAAAGAACCAGGACCCACCTTGGTACCTGGAGTGGCGGGTGGGTGTCTCTCAGGAGAGGCTGGGCAGTTAACCTTTGATTCCCCAGCCCAATATGGAAGCGACTGGGTGATCCATCCTGGGAGTGCCAGGGCTGCTGCTGTGTGGTCCGTGTAGTGCCCTGGTGTGAGTCAGAAAGTGGTGCCCTACGATATGGCCTGCTTCTACTGTACACTGCTTCTACAGTGAGCAATAGATCCAGAATAAGCTCCCCCGAAAGTGTTAGCTCTTAATATCATTACCACATCCTCTCCTTCTTCCACAGACTCAAAGATCAGGAGGCTTGCCTATAGCCAGCATCATTTGGTGCCAACCCTTTGCTGAATGCCCACGGTGTGCCAGGCTGTGCTTGGCACTTTATAGGGTGCCTGTATTTTCTCTTTCTTTATTCAACAATTGAAGTTAAACCCCGTGCAGGGACCTGAACCTGCATTTGTGCAGGTGCGATCCCATGCCTCTACTGCCCGCTTAGATAGGAAGCAGTGGATGTGGCCCTGCAGGGCCCGTGGCCTGGGGCTGCTGCCTCCTGAGTGGGTCTCCCTCTCTGCCTCTCTGCATGTCTTGAGTTTCACAGCTTCTCAGGAAGGGCTTCTCAGACCCCTCTGCTGGGTTTCTCTCCAGGGCATGAACCTGTCTGGGGGCCAGAAGCAACGCGTGAGCCTGGCCCGGGCCGTGTACTGCGACTCCGACGTCTACCTCCTCGATGATCCCCTCTCAGCAGTGGATGCCCATGTGGGGAAACACATATTTGAAAATGTGATTGGCCCCAGGGGGCTGCTGAAGAGCAAGGTACCTGCTACTGGGGCAGGGCGCGGGGCTCCGGCTGCCTCGTTCTTGGGTTAAGTTAGGGTGTGTTCCCTCTGGGAACCTTTCATGTCCCAGGATTTTTTTTTTAAATTGGACTTAACACATTTCTAATGCTTCCCTTGGAAGCCTTCCTGCTCTTGTCTTTATAGGGGGAATTCCTCAGCT